AAAAAAAAAAAAAAAAAAAATTGTCGACAGGAAACGATGGTTCAAGAGTATATATACTATATAATCGTTAATTTCGGGCCAAAGTGTCACACTCTCAAGCGCCAATCTGCTTAAGACCGATTTGAAACAGTAAAAGTCAATAACGACTGATGTAAACACAAATTTTGAATACATGGTCAGAATCTCTCTCATCGTCTGGTCTAGGTTAAATTTGACGAGTAAAGTTAAGTCACAATTTTGGCGCTTTTGACATGCCCTGCTCTGATACCTCATAGCGCTTGTGATCGACTATTTTTTCTTTCCTCAGCAAAAAGTTATAACAATACACGATAAATCGACGGTGAAACTAGTAAACCACGTATATCGCTTTGCGACGTTGCAGACTTCCTGTCATGCTTTATTTTATAAATGGGTAACTATTCAACTTGAATTTTTGAAATTTTCCGAGGTTTTTCTCATCGGTGCAAAGAAAACTCTGTGAAAAACTTGAAGGAACGGTTTTGATTTGTTTTCCTTAAAAAAAATAAAATCTGAGCTGCGACGTTGCAGACTTCCGGTCATGCTTTATTTTATAAATGGGTAACTATTCAACTTGAATTTTTGAAATTTTCCGAGGTTTTTCTGCTCTGTACAAAGAAAACTCTGTGAAAAACTTCAAAGAACGGTTTTGATTTGTTTTCCTTGAAAAAATAGAATTTGAACGGAGATACTTGGGCTGGAAGGTGAGGATTTGTACTTTTCTGTGAAATCTTGATGATGTTGTTCTTGGTCTGTGACTTAAGAATTCTCCTGTGATGTGTTACAGGTGATTTGTGTCAGCCACTGCACTGCAAGAAGCGGGAGATCTGCCTGTTAGAGGACGCTCTGACGGCCGTCTGCGTGAGCAAGAAGGAGCTCCACAGGAACGGGGACATCGTTATCCCGAAATCCAAGATCCTCGCCGACGAGGCCAAGAACAAGCTGAAACACAAGAAAGGCTCCGAGGATGACGACGACATTTTCTACAACTCTGACAACGACGAAAGTGACGACACTGACAACCGCGACGTCGTCACACCGTAAGTCCTCTTTATCCTAATCTCTCTCCTCAGGAAAAACGCCGCATGAGCAACCGAATATTGCCAAATTTTTTTCTCACAATATTGTAATATTGTGAGAACCCTGGCTGTGCCTTGAATACCGTGAAATGTCAGGGAATTTTAAAAAGTCAGGGAAAATCTGGAAATTACAGGGAAAATGAGGGAAGTGCTAGGGAAGAATTGTTCATTCATCTTTTTTAGCTTTTTAGAATGCATTTGATGTTTAGAACAACACATTTCACCTGAAAACTATTTTAAATCATAAATTTTTGGCATATCTTCAATTGTCAGGGGATTTTACTCAAATGTATCAGGGAAATGTCAGGAAACATTTCCTAAATTTTGTTGCAACCTTGAATATATCTTTGTTTTGAAGAAAATTAAAAATATTTGCTCTTGAAATTTTCAGAAACTATAGATCAAATTTCGAACAAAATTCGCTGAGAAATTGAGAAAAATATTCATATTTTGTTTGTAAGTCGTAATTTTTCAAAGGAAATTTGGAAACACGTCGATTTTCCTCCGCATGGTAGCATTCTTCTCCGTACGATTACTTTTTTTTTTACCTCTTTTTCAACTTTTTAATATATTAATACCTAATTGATATTAACACTGGTCAGCAGGTTGGTAACTGTCGAAAAGTTGGTAAGTGTGACCGAGTAGTTTTTATCGCAGATTCCGAGAATGATCTGAATCTGTTTGGTCTTCTCCGGAAAAATCGTATTTTGCCTGAAAATTGGATTTCTCCTGAAATTGAGCCTTTCAGAGAAACTTTAATTTTCTGGAAAATCTGTACATGGTAGAGAAAAACCAAGGTAATTTTCCAGTTTCAGGAGTCGGAAAATATATCTGAGATCATAGATTGCATGCCTATCAAATGTTTCCCTCTGTTCTTGATATGAAGGTTTTTCCTGTCAAATGCCTCATTCCCTCCATCTACCACCGTGCTTCATCACCTCAAAAATTTCTTTACATTCAGTATGCCATAAAAAATGTTGTCTCTTCTAAGTGTGTAAGCTTTTCATTTTCTGGGCGAAGATTGTTCCCCAAAATAATCAGACTGTATTGATAGTTTGTTTCCATGTTAAAAATTACCTACTAAGTTCGAATTTCGCAGCTTTGCAAGAATACTGTGTGATTTTTGAGTTTTGAGGTCGGTATTCTGCATAATTTATTATGTTTTGATTTTACATCTAGGTGATTATCTCAAATCTATTATGAAAAATATTCGTCTTGTTTGCAGGCGTTGCGCACCCTGCCCAGTAATAACTCCAGCTTTCATTTGTGGCACTGACAACAAGACTTACAGCTCCATTTGCCGCTTGGACTACCACAATTGCATCCATCAGTCTACTGTAGCTATAATGTGCCATGGATTTTGTCCTTGCAAAAGTAAGTTTTTTGTTTCTTGTTTTTTCTTTTTCTTAGTCTCTCTATTGTTAGAGTTTTACCTAGGAACCACTATTTCTAGCTCTTCTTCAGAAACAACACATCGACGGTGAAACTACCAAACCACGTATCTCGGTTTGCGACGTCGCAGACTTCCTGTCATACTTTATTTTTTAAATGAAAAACTACTTAACATCCAGTCTTGAAAATTTCTGTGATTTTTCCTCTTTGTGCGGAGAAAATTCCTTGAAAATTTCAAGGAATGATATTGATTTGGTCTACTTCAAAAAAATAAAATGTGAGCGTAGATTTTTAAACACCGCAAACGAGTTACGAGGTTTGGTAGTTTCACCGTCGACATGTGTCATTAATACCTCCATGCGTATAGGTGCTTTTATGGTTGAGCCAGAAATATGCCGTAATATTGGTGGAAAACTACAATATTCCTCAAAAAGAAGGAGAATGGTGACGACTATGGAAAAAAAAATTTTGTTTTGGTTTTGTCAAAATTAATTCGGCTAAATCTTGTCCATCTCATAAGTCAATCATTACAATAAGGTAAAAAGTCAATCATTACAATAAGGGAAAGGTAAAGGTTTGAGGTGAACCCTTTGTGAAAAGTATCAAGCATTGAGACATCGAATATTTTTTTTCTAAAATAATAGTACTGATTTTACTTTATATCTCAAAATTACAGTATATGTTCATTCGGAATGAAAATTTGTGCACCATGATTAGTCAATTACAAATTCTATTTTTGGATAGGTAATTCTGTTTCAAACTTAGAATTTCTGAAGGATTTTTATAGAGTAAACTGGAAAGAGGTGTTAGTATACCAATAGATATATTTTTAAGTAAAATTGAAAATAAAACGATTATTTCAGTATAATGACTAACCTAAACCAAGGGAAAAACCCTGCAACAATCAAAAGTCAAGTTTTCAACTCTGAATTCCAACTTGATTTCAGCATTGAATGGTTTTTTATGTTTATTCATGATTGAAACTCTCATGTAGCAGGTGGCGATCATTCATGGAAGAAACAGAAACGAAATGAACGATTGGGTAACTTAAAATCGAAGTACTCAAAAATTAAGGATGTCGACAACAGTATCAAGAAAGTAACGTCAAATCAACTTTTTGCTGATAAATATTCCTTCATACCGCAAGATTTCAAGTACGAGAACAAGCATTACAAATACATCAAGTATACAAAGCACGACAACAATTTGAACAAGGTAAATCTTATTCCTCATTCTAAACTCAGGTTTAGCATCATTTTGGAGAGGTATTTTGGGTATTTGGTAAACACTGTTGTCAAGATTCTCCAAACAAATTCAATCCTTCCAATTTTTGATTCCATTAAAAATTCCTTTCGGCAATAAATTCGCCTATCTTCGAAGAACCAAAAAGTGAAAATACTCCACAGGACAAAGTTAAAATGAAAGCTCAAGATCGTATGTTTTGTCTTCAAAACTTCACCTTGAAAACCATGCATGCAACAGGAAAGTTCAAAATCCAATCTTTAGCAAGATTTTATCATGTACTCTCAACGCTACTCAAACGGAACACGGATCATGCAAATGACATCACATATATTTTTGCCATTTACTGATGTTAGTTATGGAGTCTCATATCTCCTCTAAAAATTGGTTTCTTAACTTCCCGTTTCATGAATCATTTTTTACGTAAAAGTTTGAAGTGAAAATATGTGAAGGAGTGCTTGAGTTGATACCTTGTCTAGTGCCCCATCACTAATTCTTTAGGTCGCATTTTCAAAAATTTAAAGATAGTAGGCTCATCCAAAGGATGTCTTTTGTCAATAGCTTTAAAAATCATAAAAATCAGCTCAGCAGGTCTAGAGAGCCAACCCAGACAAAAAATGACTTTACATTGTTTAAATTGGAAAATTTACTTCTTCATCATGTAATGTCATAAAATCTCAGTCATTTTTTGAAACCGTAAAGAAAGTGCCAGCTTATAGCCTCATATGGACGTATTTCTGTCAAACGAAACTAAGTGCCAATTTGAGTTCCTTTTGAGGAATTTAGAATGCCCGATAGCGCGTTCTGTCAAACGGAACTAAGCGCCATGAAAAAGCATTGCGAGTATAGGACGGAATGAACCCGACGCCCGGTTCTGCCGCCAATGCAAGCCCCCCTCTACCTTCCTCCCCCTATGACGCATAGTTCCGTTTGACAGCAATTCGTCCATATGAAGACTATTACCCGCGGATAACCGCATAAATCATGGAAATAGGCCCAGAGGATCTATGAACGAACTATGACAAAAAATGAAAATTTGGAGAGTCAAAGAGCTTATGTATAATTTCTATAGATCTACTGGGCCAATTGTTATGACAATTGTGGTTACCGGCAGATAAGAATCTCTCATTGGGCGTCAGTAATCTTTTGATTGTTTCAAATATTTGAATTGTGATCCAGGTTTTTTTTTCCTATGAAGTGGAACCTCTCAGTAATTCATCTTCAGAAGTGAAAGTATTCAAATTCCACCTTTTGATTTTTGTTGACTGTTCTTGAATTTTCTAGATAAACTTTGGCTCAACGAAAATTCCATACTCGGAAGACAAACAAAAAATGAGAGGATACAATGATGTTCTGGATAAACCAAGCCATAACTCTCTGAATCATTACAAAGAATGCTCACCATCAGCACAACAAACAATGGGCAACCGGCTTCTCGATTGGTTCTCTGTTATCATGGCAGATTCAAAAAGGAGGCGCTTCCGCAACAAGAGCAGTAGTAAGTAGTATTTTAACTTTCTCCTAAAATGTATTTCTCTGAAGAGGTGAGGTAATTTTAAAAGCTTGAAATCTCATGCGAGAAATACAATCACCCTTAAACAATGAAATTGTTACCATTAAGCTGTAGCTCAAGACCCATGACAATTTTAAAGTTTTTTACCTACCGAATTACTCTTGTGCCTGTGTCACACTATCAAAGCGTTCCATCAAACCGTCAAGGTCAGTGCTCTGCGTATGTCCGTTTCTGTGACGAAGAAATAAAGGATCCAATCAGAGCTGACTAACTCTTCAAAAGCGTGCGGGCTGCACGCTTTTGAAGAAGAAGCTGCTGCGCGCGCATCTGGACCTCCACATTTTGATGGGAGTGTTTTGATAGTGTGACGCAGGTATTTTTCTCTTTGCCATAAAGCGGTGCAAAAAGTTTGGTGACACCAAACTCATCTTCATTGCAGCATTAACAGCGTAAATTGATTTCTGGAAAACTAATTGTGGTTCTTCCAAAAAATGATACGATTATCATTTTCTACAGCACAACAATGGTTACCAAAAAATGTTGAGTGCTAAAATGGAATCACTTGCATATCATCATCAACCAACTTTCCTTGACATATTTTTGCAGATGCTTACTTCCCATCCGGGTGCAAACTTGAAGTGAAATGGATGTTCCAGCATCTGGACACGGATGCCGACTCTCTTCTCTCTCTCCAGGAACTTTATGATTTGGAACATGATGAAAACGAACATTGTATCAAACCCTTCTTGAATGAGTGTGATATTGACAGGTAAATGAATGCTCCTCAGGACTGCATTATCTCAAGTCATACTGAGTTTCAGAATCTACTGTTTTTGTAACTCCAGCGGACTGATTGTGGAAATTTATAGACAAAGAAAGCAAAAAGGATATAGAGGGATCCTATTGGTGTAGGTGGGTGGTTGCAATGGACAAAGGAGGTCGGTAATAGACTAGGTAGATAACCTAACCAATAGCAACCCTCGAGAAACCATTTATTTAGTCCATAAGAACCACCCATTGTAATCAACAGGATCGCTTTGTACTCCTTATGTCTTCTTGTCTATCAATTTCAACAATCAGCGAGCAGGTTCTTCACCTTGAGTTGATCCTAGTTATTTTTTTTTTACTCTCCATCGCTCAGTCAACATTAAACAATTAAGCCTCTGTTTTTAACCCTTAAAAAATTTGATTTCTTTGTTGTTTCAAAAAACTTTAAGAAGAATAAATTGCAAAAAATCATTGACACACTCCCAAAAAAACTCAGTTATTTTAGCGCAGCTTGTTTTAGAAATTTAGCCTCGGCATCAAAAAGAGCAGTCTAATTGAGGATCCAAGTGCAAAAAGAAAAAAAAATGAGACCACTGTACAAGATAAAATTTCAAGATTTCCCTAGGTGAATGGCATACTGTAGGATAGGAAAATCATAAATTCTCAGGGGCTGAAAATGAAACTTACCTCACCTTGTACCTTTGTACCGTACGCTTATCCTTGTACATTACCCTTACTGCAACTTACCTTGTTAAAGCCGCCAAGAAGTGAATGGGGGAAAAAAAGATGAAATTTTTTTTATCAGGATCGCTGTTCTGCTTTACTTGGGCAGAAAATAAATGGAATCCGTAGGATAGAGCCTTTAGAGAATTTGCAGGTGTCTGAAATTTAATGAAGTTCGAGTTTAAGTGGAAACTACTGAGTGAACTGAGCAGGAGAATACCCTTGGTTCATGAATCGAATAATTATAAGAGAAGATATGACAAAATTATCTAATCTGCTAAAATACATGTCTTTAAATGGGAATTGCTGCCAGATAACGTCACTGAGCGGTGTATTTTCTAACTTTTAAATCTATTTTTATACTACTTCCCATATCAGAAAAAAAATTATAAAAAATACTAAGAAATCAGCTCTTTAAGCACTTTCAGATGAAGCAATAAAACATTTGCATGCAAATTCTCCATTGTTAGCACAAGTGCTTGTGAAACTAATTGTAAATGGTTGTTTAATTAGTTGTAAATGGTACCTTATTAATACTTAAATGCTCATGTACCTTTCCAGAGATATCTTCATCAATCCAAAAGAATGGTGCCGATGTTTCGAAAAAACAGAACGACCATGCGCAGCAGTGCGGAGGAGAATCTCAACTCAGCTGCTTGGTTAGTTATTCATTCCTATCAGAATTCTAATTACTCAAGAGTCTGGCTTAATTTTAAGATACAAAACTAGAGGAATCTGGAATGGAACACTTCATTTAAAGCAGTAATTTTATTATTACTTATAATTTTAAGAAGGAATGTGTGTTCCTGTGACGTGTTAAAAAATTACTCTCTTTTTAAGATGCCAAGTTAAAAAAGTTGTTAAGTCAGTCAATTATGAGACAATGGTCATTTCACGCCCCTAGCATAACTTAAAGCAGAGATTCAAACTTAACAGCACTAATCCTGATACTGCAACTATCGATTTGTGTAGATGAGTAGGTGTGACTGTTCATCAGAGGGAAAGCTTCAGTGCTACAAGCAAAAAAATGAAGCATTGGTGCCATCGGTCTGAGGATTGTTTTTCGTTTTTTTTTTTTTGCTTGACTCAAACAAGTGAAAACAAACTGACATCTTGATAGTTTGAAGTATCCAGTTACGAAAAAGTAATTTTCTGAAAAGAATATTAAATGATTTTACCTGAATGCTCGGGGTTCGAAATTGTTGGATTATGATACAACTGTAGAATCTCTTTAGGCATATATTTATGTGCCAAAAACACTGGATTGCTCACAACTTATAAATTATAGGCCAGTAGCAAGTAATGTCCTTTAAAAAGGGAACCTCGGATTCTTCAATCCAACCAGAAAAAAATCGTTGTAGATTTCAATTTCTTCCCGTTTGCCGAGCCTTTTGTTTTGGAAGTAAAGAACATTTGTCAACTAATTTCATTATTTTTCCATTAAATTGAATAAAACTTTTTCGAACAATAATTTTTCAGATTTTCAGCCAAAAAAATATATGTAGGTCAATCATCATACAGTTTTAAAGTGAATTTATCATCGGCCTGTCAAATATATTTGATTCAACCAGATGACTACCTAGACCTGTGCCTTGTGCATGAAGCGAGTAGGTACGCTGTGTGGACTTCTCAACTCTTCTTGGCCAAAAATTACGGTGATGGTTAATGCAGGAATTTTTTTACTGTATATTTTACGGGCAAGTTTAATTCATGGTGGATAAAAATTGAAACAGGGTTATTTTTAGGCGCCCGCAGTAGGGGTGCTCAAACGAATTCTTGCCGGAACGCTATCGATATCGTCTCTTATTGAAACTGGCGGCAGTACCGACAGTGGCGATGATATCGACAACAACCGGCCTTATCGGATTTTTGAGAGCTCGCACTCATTGCATTGTTGCCCCGCGTGTCGGTTTATCAGATTACCTGGCGCGGCGGCGCGTAAAATAGATGTACAAATGGCAACAGCTTATTTTCGCCGGCTCCGAAAACTCTGATCGCTATCGACAAGAGCGCTCATATCGTAACTTTTTCTTAACGGAACTGTTTCGGTGGCTTACCGACAACCGATTGAACAGCCCTAGCCCGCAGTGCCAGTGCCTTTAGAAAGTAGTTTAGATTCGACTTTGGCTATTAATTACTCTAATTTTAATCGCTTCTTTGCATTTGTTTTTACAGGATCCTACATGCCTTCCTGCGATGATGAAGGATATTACACCCCAACGCAATGTCATTCTGCGACTGGTATGTGTTGGTGTGTTGATAAGCATGGTGTTGAGGCACCCAATTCTCGTATCAGAGGGAAACCAGAGTGTGGTGAGTTGTTTGTATTTTTCTGTATTCTAAGTCATTTTTAATAGTACAAAGAGCCAATTTATAAATTTTACCTAGTTTCTCATTTTTGAATGTTATCCATGTCAGAATTTTTCTTCTTCTACCTATATATATGAGTCGCTTTTATAGCGCTCTTTGGCGCTGTGCGACGCCTAATCGCCACAAAGCTCGGTCTTCCCACAGGTCATCAGGGAGTTGACAATCTCTTATCTCATTTAACACCCCCTGTCGCCAACCTCTCACTGGGCGTCCCCTACGTCTCCTCCCAGGAGGAACCCAATCAAGCATCTTTTTTGGCAGCCTCTCTTCCGTCATCCTATTGACATGACCATACCAAACAAGTTGTTTGGTCATGACGTCGAACATGATGTCATTTTCGACTTCCATTATCTGACGCACTCTATCATTACAGACCCGATCTCTCCTAGAAATTCCTGCTGACCTTCTCCAGAAATCCATCTCCGTTGCTCTTAGCATATCCTGTGTCCGTTTCTTCAGCTGCCAAACTTCACATCCGTATGTTAATATACTTTTGACTACAGCGTTGTATATCCTCCTCTTGTTATCTTTGGAAATCCGCTGATCCCAGAGGATTCCATTTAACATCGCTATAGCCTTCCTTGCTAAGGTGTTCCTTTCCCTGATAGCTTGATCCGTCCTTCCATCCTGGGTCAACCGCACTCCCAAGTACTTAAAGTGCTCGCAGCCTTTGATCTGCTGCCCATCCTCCAACTCAATGCTTTGCTGATCACCGCCAAAAGTCATCTTCTCAGATTTGGATATGCTGACTTCCAGACCCCACTTCCGATACTCTTCTACTAACTTGCGCATCATGTATTCCGCGTCATCTTGATCTTGAGCAACCACCACCTGGTCATCAGCAAAGCACAGAGTAAACAGAGTTTCGAGATCACCCAAGGGGACACCCATACCAGAGCATTTCTTTTTCCATTCTTTTAGCACGCACTCGAGATAAATTTTAAATAATGTTGGCGACAAACAACATCCCTGTTTTAAACCCTTAGTCACATAAAATCCCGCTGACAACCCCCCATGGCACTTAACTTTGGTAAAACTCCCTTTATAAAATCGCTTAACAGCGTCAATCAACCCCCCGTTAAAATTCGATTTTTCCAAGGCCTCCCAAAGTTTCACCAACGGCACGCTGTCATACGCCTTCTGGAGATCCACAAAAATTAAATGCAGTTCCTGAGCTACGGCCATTTTCTTCTCAATGACCTGGACAATAACAAAGAGGTGATCTATCGTAGACCTGCCAGCTCTAAAACCAGCCTGCTCCTCTGCTTCGTGATCCTGCCATTCGTCCTCGATCTTCGCTTTCAGTATCTTCCCGTACACTTTGCTTATTGTCCCGGTCACTGAGAGCCCCCGGTAGTTGTTACAGTCGTCCTTCCTTCCCTTCTTTTTGTAGATGGCCTTGATCCAAGACTCCTTCCACTCCCTTGGTACCTCGTCACCCCTGATGCATTGTAATGCATTTGTTCTTCTTCTACCTCCCCTCACTAATTTCAATGTTTTAGCAGGTGTGCAAAAAGTTCTAATCCTTCCCCCAAATTCAGTAAACATTCTCTCTATTTCAACCAAAATTCATGATCACTTCCCTGTGACAACTTAAAAAAAGAAAAAATAAACATAATTAAAAACCTCCTATCCAAAAAATTGGATTAATTCAGCGCCAAAACGTTTTATTTTGCACAGGATTCTCCTGTTTTGTCCCCTGTTCAGACTTATTCCCTGTTTTTCCCTATTCTCGCGGGGGTTCTCCCACTTCACACGATTGGGCAGGTTACAGGGTCAGGAAGTTTCTGCACCCCTTCGTGTAAATAAAAATGTGGATCCCTCTTTGTTCTTTAGTTACAGCAGAAAGTTCCTTCTAATATCAAACACGCAAAAATCATGGATTTTGGAAGTAACTGTGACAAAGAATAAATGTTTATACATTATTTCAATGGAAAAATTCACAATTTTATCACGTAATGGAAAAAGACTTGGGTAATATTTCCAAAATCAGAATAAAGGGGGCTCGTCTACATACTGCCACCCGTCCATATAGCTGCCAAAATCATGGAAATCAAACCAGCAGGATGGTAGAACGAACTATGACAAAAAATGAAAATTTAGGGGGTTAGAGAGCTTAAAGTATTGATGATATCCATATTTCTCTTCACGTGGCTCTGCAGCCAGCCATACAGACTCAGAAAATCAATATTCTATTTTGCCTAAACACCTACATAGCTTTTGACATCCAATTACGTTCGTTGTATTAGTTTCATTGAATAAAGCATGTCTGCTTACAGAAACCATACTTGGACTGAACGGGTCAAAAAGCAAAGTTTCTGACTCGTTGAACAATAATAGTAGTGCAGAGGATGATGACGATGACGATGATGATGACACAGACCAAAGTCTAGAGGGGAGCGCAGATCAGCCGCTTGACTTTTAAGCGCATCATCAGCAAATTTTTTAGGTCATTTCAATGTAAGTAACCTACCTCTAGGTGGCACTTCTATCAAAACCGGTCTAAAGAATAATGAGTGGAAAATCCTTAAATCTTAACATTATGATGCATCGATGGCCAAAGTGCGAAACCAGGCATCTCCGTTTTGCGTCGTTGGAGACTCACTGTCATTCTTTATTTTTTGATTGGAAAACTATTCAATGTATTCTCTCAAAAAATAACGTGATTTTTCTTCTCTCTTATCAGAATATTCTCCTTGCCAGAAATTTAGCTTGTTTCCCTTGGAAAAATTATAATAGAGGTGGAAATGTTGAAACACCGCAATGGAGGTATGCGATTTTGCACTTTTGCCATGAATATGCTGATAAAAAGACCAATTTTTTTTGTATTTATCCTTTTCATTACTTGAAGAATGAACTACTGAAGCTTTGCTGTAGAATTCCCTGGAATCTCAACACTAATTTCTCACAAAACTTCTACTAAACTTGGAGGGGATCTCAGATGAAATCAGAAAATGACTTTTATGTGGCATCAAAAAAAAGAGTTTTAAGGAAAAAAGTACATGAAAGCCTATGACACAAACACATTTAAACTGCTGATTTCAAAGTGTACTGAATTTTTTCACAATGTAAGGTATAAAGTGAGCTTTAATAAAAAAAAAGAAAAAAAGAAAAAAAAAAAAAAAATTAAAATAAAAAAAAATTAAAAAAAAAAATATTCCAATATTTTCAATTTCATCACTCAGTATCTGCATCTGCTGCAAACCCTTTATCTGTCACTTTAGAGCTTATTGCAATCTCTGAAATTATTTATTCCTCTGAAAGTCGTGTTGTTTCAACAGTTTAGTGCATTCCTTTCACTGAGTAAATGTTTTTTAAGCAATGTTGTTGAGTGAAAAATGCGTTTCTAAACTTTTAAAAAACTTGTGTCACAGAGCTTGCACTTGAAAGTACATATTTTATATCTTATTAAATTTTGTGGCTCATTTATTTTGACAGCATATCCACATTGAAACTGAAGGAATGGGTCCTCGATTTGTGATGTTGTAGGCTTTCTGTCTCATTTAATTTCTTAAAATGGAAGCAGAAATGTTGAAACACCGTTAATGAGATAAATGTTTCTGTAATTTCACCTTTGATATCGGAATCTGCATCAAGTTTCAGCCTAATGGAAGATTTTTCCGAACACAACTACGATTGCTACATTATCTGCTAGTTGAAACACTTAACCATGCATCATTCTAAAATGTATTTTTTTTTTTTTCGTTTTACAGGTGAATATTTGAGTGAGCTTTAGATCTTTCAGTGAGCATTCTCTTCATTTTGTTTCGTTAACAATGCATGGCTGCTTTTCTAGTATGTAGTTTTACGTCCAAGGGTTTCAACTCAATGATGCGGAACTCAAGTATTACATATACTCATGCAAATAACGAGCGAGACCTACAAACAAGGTGGAATTAAGTAATAAAATTTTGTGCAATTGTTAGGTTTAAATCCAGGATAAGTTTTATTTTCTCTCTTTTTTTTCGCAGTAAGAATGAGTACGAAATAATTAAGGGAAATACTTCATGAAACAACGCGCTTTTTTAGATTTTTAAGTTTGTAATATTGACCCAAAAAAAATTAAATCATGTAACATGTCAAATCCGATCCCTACGCATCATTTCAGTTTAAGCCATTTTTTAAGAAACTGAAAGTTAGTGTGTATCATTTTAAATTTTTTTCTATGAACATTAATATCTTAGATAACTGTTTCTCTGTGTTAAATGTTTTTACAGTAATTACCTACTCTTGTATTTGTAGAAATTTCCAGCACTTTTCTGTAAATATTATTATGTGTCACATTCCTATCTTTTTTGTCGCTGTTTATTTATTAACTGTTTCTGTGTGGAGAAAGTTTGAAGTTCATTTTCACTTTCCTAGACTGCTGTTGATAGTCCCTTAAGCCGGATCGTAAGTAGAACAAAAGCATGTGCCATCGTTTTCATTTTTCAAAACTCTCTTTGACTTTTGAAAAAAATATCCTCATGATCATCTCAAAATTGTTCAAAACATTGTATTATTTTAAATAATAAAATAATCAAAGCACTCAGAGTAAAAGAAGTCTTATTAATTTAGAGCAATAAAGAAACTCGAAAGGCTGTTTTTTTTACATAAAGTAAATATTACTTAATCAAAAGATAAACCTGAGAATTGAAATAGCTCAAGTTTACTTGAGCAAATAAATAAAATTAGTGTAAATTTCAAATATTATTGACTGAATGGGATTATAAGGATCAACAAGCTGACCTTGAAACTGTCTGCAAATGAGTGAGAATTAATTTGAAGCTTTATATACAAAATAGTAAAAGGTTCGTTTTACTAATTCTGTCTTGCCACAATTCTGTCTGCAGTTGAATTTGCACATTTCAAATATTTGGTTTCATTCATGTTCAAGTTTTGATCTCCAAACAACAAAATAATAACATTTCCAACGGAACATAGCCATACAAAAATGGAAGTTTTGTCTTAGCTATGAATCAAAATATTACTTTTCCTTTTTTTCCGGTTTTATCAATTTTTATTCGTACATTTCCTGTCAAGCTTTTGTTTATCCCGTCTCTTCAAGACGGTCTCATCCTTTTTTTTAAAAAAAAATTCTACAACAGAAAATCATTCAGTTGAGATTTTGTTTTGTCCATCAAGTATGTACACCTATGTATTTTACTAAAAAAAATACACTCAACCCTTTGCTCCACATTCAATATTTTAACAGGAAAAGTAAAAGAAAGGAATCACTGTATACAATATTACCTTGGTTATCCAATGAATTGTGGCAAAACCTGTGCTTGATACCGTAATTGCCATTCAATCAAATATTCATTAAAACACAAAACCATCTGAAATATGTACAGAAAAACGAAGATAACCGATTCATACTTTGGGCGTTCCAATAAATTCATCCACCAATGCATAATAACGTGCCAGGTTAACTTTGTAGAGGCTGTCAAGTTTCTGTTCGAGAGACAAATATTGACGGTTCAGGGATGCTTCATCATCAAGTCAAATACCTGGAGCACTGAATAAGTGAAGGGCGGATAATCAAGGTATTATCGTAGTGGCACATTGTTTCATGTACTTGTACCTATGTATCTGAAATCATTTTTAGGTTTGTCTGTTTCCCTCTTTTGTTGTACTTTTCCTTTTTCCAAAGTGTAATTTTATTCTTAGATTATTGAAAGTAATGTCCTCATCAGTATTATCTAGTACTTACTCAATATTTTACTTATATTTCCTTTTTGAGCTCCTTAACGTGTAGAAAAATCGCTCAAGTATTGAATTTGAACGCATAGGATGCCCTGCATCAATAAGTGCCATGTTAATTGCTTTAATTTATCGCAAATCACTTTGCAATGCAATTCTTGTATCCTAGAACAAAAGCTTGTTTTCCAAAAGATCCTGTATTTGACTCCTAAATTTTCAATCACTGTCGCAATACATTTCCACAGCACTAGTAATACTGTAATAGTTTTCAGACGTTCGTTAAACGATTACCTCATTCATCAGGTGGAGTGCACTTCAGCTCTCGATGAAAAATGAGCATAAGATTACTCTTAAATTAATGAAGAAAGAAGCAAATTTTTCTTTCCCATCTCTCTTCATACTTTGTTCATTTGAAATAATTCAACTGAAAGTTGTGAGAGTAACGTTTTCATTCATCTCATGAAAAATCTGTCCACTTGTATGTTCCTCCTAGTTTTTTTCTTATAACTTTGTCTTGGTTTTTGAAACAGAGCTCTAAACTTTTTCAGGATCAAAACTCCATGAAAATCAAGTTAATAATAATGAAAAAAAAAAAAAAAATTAAAAAAAGTATAATTCTCTTTATCGGAGCGATCTTAAGCTATCACAAAATAACTCAATTTGAGTGAAATCCAGTGTCATAGTCTCTCTCTCTCTCTCTCTCTTTTGTCTCCTTGGAAACCGATTTTCTTGAATTAAAAGTAATTTTGTCAAATCTGGATTTTGTGTAGTTTACACATTTTTGTCAGACTTGTTGTAGGCACTTCCATTTGTTTTGGAGGAACTTAATTTTGGTTTCAAAATCATCACAATTAGAATGCATTTATTGGCTTAGTTGTTACATCACCTATTTATTTTTCTTCCTGATGCAAAATAACTTGATGTTTTTGCTGTTTAAGAATTGTTATTTTTCCAAATAATACTCATTGAATGTGAGGTAATAAAATCCATCCATCTTTTATAAGTTACTTTTTACATTCCAAATTTTATTCTTAGATGGTAAGTCAATCTCTCCAAACTTTTCAACCTATGTTGCCGTCCAGAAATCTTCTTGTTTTACTTTTTGTCTTTGAAAGTAGTCCAAAAGTGTTTGTTTTATTTTTTCGGATTGTGTGCTAAAACGCAAGTTAATAGCCCTCAACCTGTCAGTATTATAAAAATCTATCAAATGAAATGTTTTTCATTATTTGTGGAATTTCTAATAATTTTATTATGAATGGGAAAACAAAAAGAAAGATGTCCTACATCAAAATAAAAATTGAGATCTTCATATCTTTGTTAAGCTTCAGGTGAAAGTACAAACTAATGCATGTGTTGAAAATTAATAATCTCAATATGAGGTTTAAATAATTAAATACCAGGCATTTCATAACGCAATCATGTTTTCTGCAGCTCTTTGCCCTAAGATCAAAATTGAATTGGTCATTCTCAAAAAGACTGAAGTGCCAGCAATGAGAAAATAGAAAAAAAAAACCAAAAAAAAAACAGTGGGAACTGTTTAAATTGACTCCTTCTAAATCTCAAAGCTGTAAAATTATGAAATGATAAATTAATAAATTATCGCACTCTCAATTAATCTAAGATACAAAATGGATCGATTATGTAATGAAGTTTCTACTTTATGCGTATTTTCATTTTTGGCGCCTAAGTTGTTTTGAAAATCACCCATTCAATCAGTCTCAAATGCTTATTAAACCAATAGTTTTCAAGCATACCTGCAAGTATGAAGACTTAAGGTGACTTGTACTTTACAACAATTCAAACGAAGCTAGTCATTTTTTCCTTAACTTAAAAATTGAAAGCATCATCAATACTGATCAACACTGCACCGATAAACTTATTTGTGCTTTTTTTTTTTATCTCACAGTGTTTTTTTCTTCTTTTTTTTTGTGTATAACTCTCTGCAGAATCACTTCATGTCTTATTCTTTTCTTTAGGTTCTCAGTATTCTCACTAATGTTCAACATTTACTCTCAATGCTTTCTATGGATAGCAATTATTTTTGCATAGAAGTTTCATTGATCTTCATCATGAAACTTAATCGGAAGCTCAGTATTTAGGAGATAAGATGAAAATTTCTGGAGTATGATTTTTCAGTGATATTTGTTTTTGTCCAACTGTTATGTAACTGTTTGTCTGTTAGATTTGTAACAGTTAAGCTCCTACTTTCTAATATTTAGGCAATTTTAACACTTTAATATATCTCTTTTTTTCTTTTTTCTGTTCATTTTTTTATTATTTCTTGTATATACTATTACATTAAAACTTTAGTAATACACAAACGTTATCATGTTCTCTTTATCACCATGTCACCTCTTCACCTACATAGCCTCCAATTATGATTGCATCCTCAAAAAGAGAACTCAATTCCAAAAAAATTCAAAATTCAGAAAACTTGGAAATTTAAAATTCCATAGACCGACCAAACTACAATTATGATGGAATCAATTTTGTTGTGGATTAATGATAAAGCTATTGTAGTTTTATCTTTCATATTTGAGGTCCACACTAAACCCTTGTAGGACCATAATGTAATTTAGCACCCTCTAAAACCTTAATAAGGTACTTAACTCATCATAACTTATTCTTTGCAATACTTTGTAGCGTTTTTCGACACAATTAAAATTCTGAGGTTGATACAAATCTTTCTTAACAAGTTTCTCTCATCGCAAAACAAATCCCTGTTTTAGTCAAAATTATTAGAATGAAAAAAAGGTCACAAGAGTTTTAAAAAGCTCCACGACTCTGCTGGTTCACTTAATTAGCGAAAAACAAGAAAAAATGCTTTATCAGAAACACTCGTTTCTTGGCGTAGGATGCTCTGGCAGGTCTCGGGACTGGGGGCAATCGATTCTGCGCCTCAAACTACACAGAATTTGACACAAATCTCACAAAGTTGTTTCCTGCCCAAAATCGAGAAAAATCGACACAGGTTATAAACAGACTAAATTTTTCCGAGTTAAAATCGAAAGTTCTTTGATCAGGTTGCGATGAAGCTGGTCCAATTGGAAATGACCCACTGGGTGCGGTTTTCTGGTCTAAAATGCTCCACGAGTTCATTGGAACTTCCAACTGACCAATGCTAAATCCGAATCCGCAGTTTTCTGACACCTACATGATGAGCAATCCTTGTCAGATAGAACAGATGGCTTAAAAAGGCGTTTTTTCCCCAAGATAGCGGCTATGCATATGAGGAAGAAACCTGAGATTAGCTAATGTTTTCAATAGCTGACTTAATTAAGGAGCAAATGATGTGTATGTATGCTAGATTTTCTTAAAAATAAATCAAAGGAGATACAACTTCAGATTCAGCGACCCAATAACACAGTTTAAGCAGCTGTGTACCTAAAATTTCATCTAGCCCACTTTTTGGCTACGCCCGCACCAGGCGCCTGGACTGTTTGTCCTAATATCTTGAGCCGAGACAATGATGCAATTTAATATTAAATATCGATATTCATACCCAGAACTAGGGATAGTCATCAAGTTTTTCCCAAGATAACCCAGGCCAAGTGGGTAAAAACTTCAGCATCGACAGGGTGTTCCAGGCTGGGGTAAACATGCTGGGGAAAAATCGTTCCAGGCTGGGGTAAACATGCTGGGGAAAAATCAGTACTTTTTCAGTACATTCCCAAGAAATTCAGTGCCTTCTTATCAGATAAATTCAGTACCTTTTAACTAGAAAAATTGAGTACTTTTTCAGTACCTCCATTTAACGAAATTCGAAATATTTCGAAAATTGGAAAATTTCGCTCGAATTGCGATAAAAATGATGTAGACACAAAATTGCATTCATGGCTTGAAGATTGACTGACTACATCATCGCAATCTTGCAGGCAAATTCCACTCTGAGAATCAACATGCAGGGGATTGCACTCTTTCCAGGCTTTAATAAAAAAACATGAGTGGTGGGAAAGAAAAAATTCTGAACCTTTTTGCAGAATTTCCGCATTTATTCAGTACTCCCGGACCACCCTTTTAAAATCAGTACTATTTCTAGACTTTCCGGACTAGTAGACACCCTGATTGGGGAATGTGCGTAGTTGAAAATTTGGGACATCATGCTCATGTGTGAGAAACAGAAGAAAGAACAACAGGTTACGATCAAAAGAACCGTTTAATTAAAAACAAGAATGAGTCTAGATATAAAAAGTATCACGAAATTAATGTACAAAACACGGCTCAAATTGTGGAGTAAAACATTTTTCTTCTTCCTCTTTACTTAGCAACAATTAAAATCAGAAAAGTGGAAAACTAAATTCTTTATACAGATGTACAAATGTACAGTAAATAATAAATAGAAATTAAAAAAAAAAGAGGAGTTCTGAAAAAGAAAAAATCTTTTGGCTACCAAATTTGACTCGATACCTTTCATTTAAACGCTAACAGTCGTGAAATAAACCAAGCATAAAAAGTTTTAGAAAAATGACGGGGCAAAAAAAGAAAATAAAAACCATTGATGATGAGAGAAAAAATTTAGGATTCTCCTTCAAACAATTATCTGACCACAAGTTCCTGTTGAATTTGTTGAAATTCACCGGTATTAGGGCATGTGCAGCCTTCATTCTGGCTTCACTATTGCAATGATTGTGTTCCTACAAAAAGGCACTAATTCATTATCATCCTTTAATTCCTTGAAACAGATGTTGCTTCCTTTCGGCGCATGCTTTACTTCTATGAGAAAGTAGTACCTGGACAACAGAAAAATCAAGATACAAAATAAATAATTTGCTCATGCAGGAGTGCTTAATTCTTAAAAAAAAGGCCAACTAGTGAATAGCAAGCATTCGCAAATGCAACGAAAGTTACTCCAAATAACTCTTAGCCAAGATATCAACGTTTCCCAATGCATAAATTCAAACTTCTTGCTCACAAAAAAAAAACATGATCTACTTGAATTAAGTTGCACACTAAATGTTACTGTAGCAGTCTCTGCAGTTAGAAAATATAGCGTTTTTCATCTTGACGCTTCAGCTCAGCTGTTTCACGTTTTTTACACTTTACAGATCACAGGCCAGAGAAGGAACACTCCTCAATGCAGAAGACTGCCAAAATTTTTGTAGTGTATAGTTTGTTTATTGCAACATATCGATGATGAAATGGCAGAAATGCATATCGACAGTGTGAGGTGGCAACACATACCTCGGTTTGCGATGTCGTAGGCTTCCTGTCATATTTCATTTTTTAAACGGGAAACTACTCGACGGCAACTCTTTAAAACTGCCAAACTAATTTTTCTTCTCGGTGCAAAGAAAATTCTGCAAAAACTTCAAGGAACTTCAATTTGTTCTCCTTTAAAAAAATAACATAGAGGCAGAGATTTTCAGACACCGCAAACGAGTTATGTGATTGCTGACTTACACCATCGATATGTTGGTTTCCAGCGTTGCAGACTTCCTGTCATACTTATCTTTCTGCATTATTTCTTGGAGACTTCAGTGATTTTTCTTCTCTGAGTGAAGAATATTCTGTGGAGGTTTCAAACGGCGATGTTAGTTTGGCTTCCTTTGAAAAAATAAAAAAGGAGCTGAGGTTTTGAAACATCGCAATCGAGAAACGCATTTTGGTAGTTTCAGCAATAAGATGTTGCCATTGACAAGCTTCTTTAAAAGTTTTTAAAATTTCCAAATGACAAACGGACTACATTTTGCAGTTGGGAACTACAATTTCTCAGTCCATTTAGAAATAATGAGTGTACCATTAGTATTTCTGTGCACATGAGTGTTTTTTACGGTTGAGCCAGAAATTGTAATTCTGAATTGCAAAATGAAGTCCTAAAGTCTGTTAGGCTTAAGAGACTTAAAAGCTAGGTTTACTACATAATGTACCTTAAAAAAGTAGGTGGCAGAGATATAGTACCTAAATATCAGGGTTTATTGTGAGCAATGCCTACACAGAAAATCAGGAATAGAAGAGGGTAAATTACAAAGTTCTTACCGGCATGATTCTTCAATGAGAGAAGCATAATTTTTAAAGTCTTTGAGGGATATTTCTTTGCCTGGTATGCCGTAACAAAACCATTCATCCGTGCCTGTTGTTCCACCGCAGTTGAAAAAATCGCACAAGACAACCATCGTATCGTTGCTTCGCGAAACGAATTCAGGAACATAATGCCTGGGGAAATGGAAAAATACATACAATTGGATGAAGACATGTTCAGAAGGTAACATGAAGTTTTTTCTCCACTGGTATAACATCTTTCATGGAACTTAATATTTACTTATTTCATTCTCGAAGAGTAGATGTATTGTGGAATTTTAAGGAGATTGTTAAAACATGAGACTAAAAATTTTATCCAGAAAAAAAAACGATACTTGAATAAATCTCAACGGGTTGAAAAAACGGTACCTATATTTCCATAATGGGTGTACATTATGAGTACACTATTGAAAGCAGGCATCATCATTGAGCTGACGGACACTTGCGTCAGAGAAGTTGGCAGTTGTTTACTTTTGACTATCACAGGCAGTGGAGAAATTCAGCGATAGCTCCTCAAAGGAAGGTATTAATTTTTTGTATCAGCGCACAACACTGTTGTCAAACTCTGTCAATCCTTGATTGCTATTGGACAGCAGCTGCGCAGTTGCTCCCAAAAGGAAAGTAAAGAACTGCCAACTTATCTGTTGCAAGTTTTAAAAATTTTGCAGTAATTTTAATTCAAGATTTCATACATTATGGCAAGGACTGTAAGCTCGATAACTACATCTCTTGAATGGACTGAGGTGAGTACTTAGAGAGGAACCATATTTTTCCGCTTGTATCAGCTACAATATATCTGCCAATGATTTTCCTGTGAAAACAGGTTCTTTCATAGAGGTGTCCATATACTCAATTCTTTTCTGTTGAACTCCAGCTAAGTAGGAGAGGCCTCAAGAAACAATAACAGATGAGCCAAGTTGAGTACAAAGGAACCAATTTTTCGGCTCATTTCTGAAAAAGCACACTGTCTGTCAATTTTTTTATTCAAATAGGTGTTAATGCAAACAGGTCTATATATTCGATCCTATTTTGTTAAATTCAGTTTAATGTCTTGCGTCAGGTACAAAAAGCAACCAAAATAATTTGGTTGTATTCCTGAAAGTACCGTTATCTACACTTATCTTCTAAATTGCTTTGAATGTATTGCTAACCTTCTATAGGATTGATCATATACAATAAGGAAGAGGAAGTCCATGTTTTCTTCAGTCAGATCCAGTTCTCCAAAACTGTGGACAAATTGACGTGTTTGAAGGCTATCCACACTCTGATTAGCAGATGGAACTCTAGGAACTTCATTCCTTCGACTTTCCGAAGTTTCTTCTTCTGTGGGGTACAATTTCATGATTGTGCTATAGACTCCTCCTGCAAGCAAATAAAATAAGTTTTGTAAACATCTTAACGAGGCATTAAAAACTGATTTAAGCGCAGTGTACCACCTTTTCTCTATAATTGTCCTTACAAAAAAAAAAAAAAAAATTATTTCCTGAATGGTAAATAGTTCTGGTAAGGTAATTCCAGAAAGAATTGCTCTTTTCATAATGATGGAAACTCTTGGAAGCATGGTCTTGGTCGTGGAAGTACATAGCGGCATTCATAATTTAGAGGAACTACAATTCATCAAGAGTAAATGGTCCCGATAGGTACTATGTAATGAGTCTAGTTATGCCCATATTCTTCCTAGAGGAATCTTGGGAAAGAAGGTGCTGGAGCCGACGCTGTACAGAGAGGTTTCAAAATCGGAATCTACCTACAATATTTTACTTGCCGTTATTCAGATCATTTTCCAATGCTCTGTTGAAATTTGGTGCATTAAAATCACTGCCTCCCGAGAGGACGAGGGAGGTCAATAATCTAAGTGTCATAAATAAGCAAGTTATGTAGAGTTACCCATCTATTATCTTAAGAGTGGTAGATGAAATTAGTTGGTGGTAATTTCCTCAAACTTATAAAAGAGTCAGAGTCCTTGCCAAGTAAGTTTGCGTACCGTTAAAATGTGACAGGAGATTGGCTTTGATATAAAACTAAAAACAGGAGATTAGCGACAAAAGCAAATGCAAGGACTGAGATGGTGGGTCTCCCTTTGCAGTTAACTATCATCGTGAGATCTTTGGCATCAGAGGAACAAACCTGATTGCGAGCGTCTCGCTAATTGAGTTGACAGAGAAATGCCGTGGGCTTTAGTGGTAGTTTCAAATTTGGGATCGATGAATAAATATTAGGCTCTAAGCACGCATGAGCTGTTATTCTGATAGCTCTGGACCAAATTATAGGCTTCCGTTGACATCAACTCGGAAGCCTACGCAAGTGGTCGTTGGAAATTACCCTTTCTTATGAAAATTAAACTAAACCTTAAGGCAATGACCAATTCATGAGCAAAAGTAGAGGTAAGAGGAAATTGAGACACCAAAAGATAAGCTTTTACCTGATAAAAAACGATTGAAAACAAGGTTTTTGTGGTTTCCAAGAATAGGCTGTATGAGCTGATAACACCGATAACATCCACTTGATCCCCGGCGTTGACAACTGAGGGAAAGTATGATACTGACAATAAAACACTGAAAATTACGGTTATTTGTAGATTATCAGATTATAAATCAGATAAATTATTTTAATTGTAGTACCGGTACTAATGAGCTAGACTTAACCTAACATGGTTTTTTCGAAAAGGACCGATTCGGAGGAGCTTTCCGGGTTCATCACTTCTAGCGCTAGTGCTGCTCAGGCTTGGGGCGCGCCAAAAACACTTGATGGACAAATACTACAAAGTGCGCCTGCGAGTGCAGCAATTTGCAATACTGTAAAGTTTACATGTTTGCAATACTCAATAGTAGGTAATATTTTATAGGCCATAGAGAAAAAAAAAAAATTGGCCTCCGGCCAATTTATGCGCGGCGCTACGCGCCGGCATTTGGGGGGCTTCGCCCCCCCATCCGCTTAGCGGATTGGTGCGGGGACCGCACGGGACTTTCTCGCTCGAGCCGGCGCTTCGCGCCGGCATAGACACTTTTACTGGAATATTTAGAAAAATACTGCCAATTTTACAAAATCATAAAGTTTGATTGGAATTTTGATCACAGGATAATAGTTAT